GGAAAAATGGCTTCACATTTACTCGAAACTTTGAGGCTTGTTCAAATTAAAAATTTGAAATATGGTTGCTAAACTTTATTGTAAATTTCTTGATGTAATTGATTGTTTCTATTTTTATTACTTCCTTGTACGAAGTAAAAAGGAAGTATTGTAATCGCGATCGTGGTGTCTGTACGAACGTATGTACGTACGTGAGTACGTACGTATCTCGCAAAACTCAAAAACGAGTAGCCTCAGAACGTTGAAATTTTGTATATAAGACTGCTATAACATGTAGCTATAACATGTGCTATAACATGCACCTTGTATTTTGGTTGCAATCGGCAACATCAAACGTATATAAATATATTTATATATATATCTACTCTATTACCCGGCTCAGTGATCTCGGTTTCTTTACTCTTATATGTTTGTAAATTGTACATTTTTTGCTTTAAAAATGATTGAATTATGTTGTTTTAATCTTCTGGTTAAGGTTTTTATGCCTTTAGTAAATCTGTGTGCAATATTTTTAGAATTATAAGCAATTTTAAAGTTGTTTAATTGCCGCTAAGCCTGTTTTTAATGGCGGCCATTGATGATTACATTTGAAACAGGAGACTAGTGGATTTGTTGCTAGTCTAGAGAAACTTAGCTTCGCAACAACAAAGATAACGCATTCATTTATTATTGCCAATTAAATCATGCTTAATTCTTTCTGGAATTTTTTTGAGGAAATAAGGGTTTGAGATTTACTTCGTAATTTTTATAATTTTAATATAGATATTTGATTTTTATGTATTTTTGCCTTCTCGCGAAGTGAGAATTGAATTAATTAAATGAGAAATACTCAATCGTCTGTGAAAAACTGTTTCTTTTTTCTTTTGTTTGCTTAATTTCTTTTATGCATCGTTCTAGCTTTATTATAGTATTTGAATAGAACATGTGGCAACGATTAGATAATTCTTTAAATGATATACATTTTGTGCATTCTGAGTTATAATATGAACGAAATATAATACTGTTAAGTAAACCTAGCGCCAGAGTGTTGCTATGGTAAACAAAGTGAATTTTAAAGAATGCATTTATTCTATTGTGTTTATGCGCTGTCGGCGAAGTAGGTTTAATTCAATCTAATAAGTTTAAAGAAAATGCAAGAAAAAAATGCGTATAATTTAATATTCCGTACAAGGAAGTCATGTGGTGTACACATCAGATTTTATAAAATTGTAGACACATTAGGTAATTTTTGGAAACAGGTAAGATGAAAAATATGCAACAACTTTGCCGGGAATCGAACCACGGACCTCTCAATTGCGCGCTGAGTGTGCTGTCCACTACACCACTAAGGCTCGCGAAGAAGATGGGAGAAATACTTTATAAAATATCATTACGGATTAAAACAACTGTTGCCGCAACCATCAGATAAATTATTATTATTCTCTGAACACTTACTGGACTAAGTTATTAGACTGAGAAGACTGAAATTACTCTGAAGATATTCTGAAAGATGTTTTGGACAATGACGCTGCACTAGGTGTTGCTGACGGTAGTAATGCAGCTGTAACTGTAGTCTGCAGAAACACTTTGTTGCGTGTTATTTTAAAAGCTGCGCTAAAAGGAGCTGTACTTCCAGGCGCTTAATTGAGCTTAGACTTGTAGGTACCCAGACGGTATAGTGGTTAAGGATGCTTACTTTCATACCAAATATCCCAGGTTTTAATCCCGAAAAAAGCATGGTTGTAACTGTTCGTCCCTTCATAGTAGGCAATGGTGGCTGCCTATCTAGGTGCCTCCACAACGAAATGGCCACCACTTCTAGCCTTAGGAATGGCCATTATTGAAGTGCTCGCCATTAGATTAAAAAGAAATTTTAGCAGTAGAGCTTATTTATAATGTTCCATGCGGGAATTGTGTAATGCGTCATCTGAGGTAGCTTATGCCCTGCGCCATAATGCTTCTTCCCTACTTCTCTCATTTGTAAGAGGAGAAGTCCAGAATGTTGTAGCTAGTGATGAGTCGGTACTACCGAACCGGGTATTTTGTAACGGGTACTTAGTTGTAACGGGTACTGAAAATCGGTACATCCAAGTACCCGTTACTTCAGTACCGAAATCGATACTTTTTCGGTATTCGTTACTCTGTACCGAAACAGGTACTTTTCGGTATTCGTTACTTCTGTACCGAAACGGGCACTTTTCGGTATTCGTTACTTTTGTACCGAAAAGGATACTTTTCGGTATTCGTTACTTCTGTACCGAAACGGGTACTTTTCGGTATTCCTTACTTCTGTACCGAAACGGCTTTTCGGTATTCGTTACTTTGTAACGAAAATATGTGTCTCTTCTCGGTATTTCGGTATTCGTTACTGGAGGATCGGTGAGGGTTCAGCTCACTTCGGTTTTGGTACGAGGACAGTAGTATTTGGTTGTATTTGCGAAATGGTGATATGCGCTCCTTGTGTCCATGAATGGTCTGCTCCTCAGACACTTCCGTAGTTGACATGTTTTCTGATATTCAAAATCTTACTCCGTACAGATAAAATCAAACACGTGGTGACGTGGCAGAGTTCCTTCAGTGCGCAAAATCGTTAGCTGCGTATTTCGGTACTCCAAATCGTTACTAGGGCACTTCGGTACTCCAAATCGTTACTAGGGTACTTCGGTACTCCAAATCGTTACTAGGGTACTTCGGTACAGCAAACCATTACTAGGGTACTACGGTACAGCAAACCGTTAGTCCGGTATTTCGTTACTTCGGTACTCCAAATCGTTACTTGGGTACTCGGTACTTGAAATCGGTTTTCTGTACTTTTCAAAGTAACGGTTACTTGAGTAACGGGTTTTGTACCGGGTACAAGAATGTACCGAAGTTGCCCATCACTAGTTGTTGCAGAACTTGTTTGGAAGACGGCAATCTGTGCGCTTGCTTATAAGCTGTAATGATTTGATTATACTGGCTGCTAGGATTTTATCGTATAACATATCACATTGCATGGGGACTGACGCATAGGCTGAGTGCCTTGATTAGTTCTAGGATATTCGCAGCTATATGCTTTGTGAACTTCGAATGACCCCCATAGATCGTGTTGCATCTTCATTTGAGTAGATAAGCGTCCGGACAATACAAACTATATATAATTATTTTACGGTCACTCAGTGGCGATTTATCTCCCACTGACCAGTCTTGGATTTGAACTACTATATTTGTTACCGTAAGAGTCAAATCAGGCCAGCCTTTGGTTCTCTGGCCTGGGAGAAATACCTCATAGTTGTTTCCTTTAGACTGTGCGAGAAGTCACGAGTTTCCTTAGTAGGATCTCATAGAGTTTATGTGGCCAAAGAGAGAACGATCCTATACCACGACAACGAAATTCTGCAGTTAGAATGCAGGAGAATGGTTTGGTTTATTTAATTGCGGCAAAGCACTCGAGGGCTATCAGCCTAAGGGGACGGATGCCTTCGTAGAGGACTTCAGGAGAATTATTTCACTTCAGTAAAGAAAGTTCCCATTTGATTATACTGGCTGCTAGGGGTAATTTTATTAATTCAAAGTTGCTCAACTTAAATAGGTTTGATTGTATTTTGACGGTTAAATACGCTAAAAATTATTAGAAAAACCTGCTAGTTCGATTATTATAATAGTCACTCATCCAATAGTGATCAAGCCATTAATTCATAATATATAAAAATTAAATTAAATAGTAATTAATTAATTATTAAATAAACATTAATTCATTCTTTGATTAAGTCATCCGTGGAATAAGGCATAAATTATAATTAAACTAGTTAACACATTTACATGTCAAATTTTTTTCTTTACACTGGAAATTTCATACCACTCTGTTACCCGGCTCAGTGATCTCAATTTATTTACTCTTATATGTTTCTAAATTGTTCATTTTTTGCTTTAAAAATGATTAAATTATGTTGTTTTTATCTTCCGGTTAAGGTTTTTTTTACCTTTAGTAATTTTTTTACCTTTTTACCTTTAGTAAATAACGTTTTTACCTTTAGTAAATCTGTATGCAATGTTTATAGAGTTATCAACAATTTAAAAGTTGTTTAAGTACGACTAAGCCTAATTAATTTTGTCATGGCGGACATGTTTGTTTACATTTAAGCTTGGCACAGTAGAGGATTTGTTGCCAATCTAGAGAAACTAAGCTTTGCAACAACAAAGATAACGCCTTCTTTTATTATTGCGAATTAAATCATGCTTAATCCATTCTGTAATTTATTCGAGAAGTGTTTAAGATTTCCTTCGTAAATTTTAATATAGATATTATGAGTTTTTATGTATTTTTGCCTTGTCGAAAAAGTGAGAAGTGAATTAATTGAATGAGAAATACTGAATCATCTGTGAAAAACTATTTCTTTTTTCTTTTGTTTGCTTAATTTCTTTTATACATCGTTTTAGATTTATTATAGTATTTGAATAGGACATGTGACAACGATTAAATACTAATTCCGAAGTCAAACAACAAAATTCAGCGTTATATTTTCAAAATTACTGTGAAAATTTTGAAAATATAACGCTGATTTTTGTTGTTTGACTTCTGAATTAGTCTTCAAATTATATTAATTTTGTGCATTCTGAGTTACATTGTGAACAAAATGTAACGCTGTTATGTGAACCTAGCGCCAGAGTGTCGCTACAGTAAACAAATATACAAACAAATATAGTGAATTTTAAAAAATGCATTTATTCTATTGTGGTTTGTATGCTATGGACGAAGTAGATCTAATTCATTCCAATAAAGTTTAAATGAAATGCAAGAAAAATGCATATGATTTAATATTCCGTACAAGGAAGTCATGTGGTGCCCACACCAGCTTTTTTATAATTAAGTAAGCTATTCAGAAAGTCCGGACTTACAGAGTAAGAATAGAAATTAATGAAATGTTAAAATGGATTACCAGCTAATAAACAGATACAAACATTAAACTTAAGAAGTAAAAATTTGCTTTTTTAATCAAAATATTAACTAAAATAATTTTTAAAGTAAAACGTGGGATTACCTGCTGGTCTCACTGAAATAAATCCCATAGCAAACGTGATCGGAACTGTAATAAGTGACCCCATTGGATGTTCTTTCGAATTAACGGCCGAATACTGTTGAATGTAATGTATTATTAAGCTTTGATATTTGTCTCATCAAATGTGATGCAATCGTCTTCGAAAACGTTATGCAATTGATTATACGATAACGTACCCAAAGATAAAATTATGAATGAAGATACCGTGATAATACAGCGTAACAGAAATTGCGCCATTCGTCTACTCAATGTTTGAAGGTAGATTAACTTTTTTTTTTTTTTTTTTGATTGCCTTGTAAGGATCTTAAGTTTTACTAACGTTTATTTTCTACTTCCGCACTTCTTATTTTCTACTTCCGGGCAGAATTATAAGCGTGAAGGATTTTATGCAAAGTTTGTCTGGCGAACGCCAGTATTTAAGTGTGGCCTTTTTGCCAAGCGAGAGAGAGGAAGCAGTAAGCAACAGGCCGCTACCTAGAAGTACGCAGTTGCTATTTGCCTTCCAGGCCAGAGGTTTATCCTCTGATAAATTAACGTATTGTAGTGTTCACAGTCTCTGTGCTATATACGCTTCCTGTTATTATAAGGCCAATCTTCCACGTGTATTATTCTAAAGTTAAATTAGAGTTTAGTTTATTTTTATACTTTTTTACGTAGACCCGAGTGGAGGATCAGTGTATTCCGAAGTACGGAAGTTATGTATATAGAGAAAATAAAGGGTTTGTATCCCTTCGTCTGTATCCTGTCTACTTACCACAATTATGAACATAGCTTTAGTAAGTCTGTCCGAGTTAGGTTCCTTGTATGTTCCGAAGAAGGTTAGAAGGAACATGACCTGATAGCCTTCTCTAATTGTCCCATTTAGTTTTTTTTATTATCACTGTAACATTTTATTGTCTTGTCCCACACTTTGGTTTGTCTCTTATTTTCTCTTATCTCACATTATGTTTATGAGCTTATCACACTTCGCTCACGCGGAACAAACATTTTATATCGGAAATAAAAGTGTTTTTTTTTTTTTTTTTTTTTTTTTTTTTTTTTTTTTTTTTTTAAGAAAAATTTTAATTGCAACATTTTAAAATTACAGTATTATTTTGCTTGTTTTTTTATTCTCAAAACCCTCGATGACATCGTACAATTGTACTTGATTGCTCCAATTTCTGTAATGCAGACAGAAAAAATCTGATGTGTACACCACATGACTCATCAAATGTACTCATCAAACGTTTCAAATTGTACGGACTATTAAATTTTACGCATTTTTTCCTGCATTTCATTTAAACTTATTAGATTGAATTAAACCTACTTCGCCGAACACCGCATAAACCACAAATAGAAAAATGCATCTTTAAAATTCACTTTGTTACCATAGCGAAACTGGCGCTAGATTCACTTAACAGTATTATATTCGTTTATTATAACTCAGAATGCATAAAATTTATACATTTAAAGAATTATCAAATCGTGCCACTGTTCTATTAAAATACTATAACAAAGCTAGAACTATGTATAAAATAAATTAAGCAAAACAAAACAAAAAAGAAACAGTTTCACAGACGATTGAGATTCTCATTCAATTAATTCAGTTTTCACTTCGCGACAAGGCAAAATACGTAAAAAACTCAAAATATATATATTAAAAATTACGAAGTAAATCTCAAACGCTTTTCCTCGAAAAAATTCCAGAAAGAATTAAGCATGATTAATTGGCAATAATAAATGAATGCGTTATCTTTGTTTTTGCAAAGCTAAGTTTCTCTAGATTGGCAACAAATACACTAGTCTCCTGTTTCAAATGTAAACATCAATGGCCGCCATTAAAGCAGGCTTAGCGGCAATTAAACAACTTTAAAATTGCTGATAATTCTAAAAATATTGCACACAGATTTACTACAGGCATAAAAATATCTGTATTAAAAATTACGAAGTAAATCTTAAAGGCTTATTTCCTCGAAAAAATTACAGAAAGGATTAAACATGATTTAAATAATAAATGAAGGCGTTATCTTTGTTGTGCGAACTAATTTCTCTAGATGGCAACAAATCTTTTATCTGCTGTTTCAAATGTAAACAAGAGCAATGGCCGCCATCAAAAACATTATTAGGCTTAGCGGCACTTAAACAATTTAAAATTGTGATAATTCTAAAAATATCGCATACAGATTTATAAAGACAGAAAACCTTAACCGGAAGATAAGAACACATATTCAATCATTTTAAAGCAAAAAATGTACAATTTACAAACATATAAGAGTAAAGAAACCGAGATCACTGAGCCGGGAACAGAGTGGATATATAAAATATATTATATACGTTGGGCGGCCGATTGCAACCAAATACGAGGTGCACATCTACATGTTATAGCAGTCCTATAACAAAAATTTTAACGTTCTTTAGGCTTAGTTTCTGAGTTTTGCGAGTAAGTATACGCACGTACGTACATAGTTCGTACAGACACCACGAAAATTCTTTTCAGAAATTTCATTTTAAAGCAGTTTTATAATTTTTTTTTCAGGAAAAGAGTGTTTATTGTCCTTAGTACAGATATCACGGAAATACATCGTTTTAATTGCTTTGAAAGAGGTCAAAATGGGGATATTTCGTTGAAATATGCTGCCTGAAACTTTTCACGATTACAATACTTCCTTTTTACTTCGTACAAGGAAGTAAAAAAGAAATATTTCTTAAATGCATAAACATTTTTAAAGGGCAATGCATAAGTACAATATAAACAATTCCTAAATACTTCTTAAATGCAAAATAAATATTTATTGTTCTAAAATACTTCTTAAATGTTTTTAACTTCGAAAACTCTTTTCACAACCAGAAGCGCTTCACTTAGTTGTGAGAAAAGTTCGCAATAGTTTTACAATTAGAATAAACTGCAAAATTTCAAAAGGACCGCCCTTCCTCGTAATGTAAGAAACTACTCTGTTAACAACTGAAACTGCTCTGTATGCTGACAGACTGGCAAACAAAATTCATTTGCTGCAGACTACTCATATAATCCAAGAGCTAAAATCCGTAAGGCATGAAGGAAATTATAACGATTATGTATAATTTGTCAAATGGTATATAAAATTAGCAGTTATGATATTAAGATATAATAATCTGGCATTGTTTGATGTGCTTATAAGCATATAGTATCTAAGAAGTCTAATGAATTTAAGTTGATAATATATGGGATTTATTAAAGAAGTTAAACAACAAGAATCAGCGTAATATTTATAAATTTGTTGTTAGACCAAAGGGCTATTAATTTCGTTTTGCCATTTTTCGTCGAAAATTTTAAATGTCTAAATCACTTTTCAAATTGTTGCCACCAAATATTATCGCCCTGTGTAATTTTTAAAGAAATTAAATAAAGAAGAATCTGCATAACTTTATCTATGTTTCTCGCATTGTGATAAAACAACGGTACCTAGAGCCATCGAATTTTGAATAACGTACGTCTCCACCTGAATTTAGGCATCTGGAAGCAAAAATTTGGAATTTGTTTTATTATTTATTTCATATTTTGTAAAGCGTTTATGAGTTTTTGATTAACAAACTCAACAATTTTAAAGCGAGCAATGGCAACACTGTACGGGGGGGCGGAGAAATTATCTCTATCGCGCGAGAGTGTGTATCGGAAATTGGTTAATTAACATAAAATTCTTATTACACTCTTATCTCTGTAGAAATATGTATTTACTGCGAAAAATTTTAAAATTATTTAGCGATATTGCTGTTGAATTGAATTTTATGGTTTAAGTGCGAAGAACATGATATTTAAAAAATAAAGGTAACACACAAAACGTTCAAAAAAAAAATTTGATGTGTACACCACATGACTTCCTTGTGCGGAATATTAATATTAAGTTATACGCAATTTTTCTTGCATTTCATTTAAACTTATTGGATTGAATTAAATCTACTTCGCCGACAGCGCATAAACTACAGTAGAATAAATGCATTCTTTAAAATTCACTGTAGTATTTGTTTACCATAGCGACACTCTGGCGCTAGATTCACTTAACAGTATTATATTTCGTTCATATTATAACTCATAATGCACAAAATTTATATCATATCATTTTAAGAATAGAATTATTTAATCGTTGCCACATGTTCTATTCAAATACTATAATAAAGCTAGAATGATGTATAAAAGAAATTAAGCAAACAAAACAAAAGAGAAACAGTTTTTCACAGATGATTGAATATTTCTCATTCAATTAATTCAGTTCTCACTTTGCGAAAAGGCAAAAATACATAAAAACTCAAAATATCTATATTAAAAATTACGAAGTAAATCTTAAACACTTATTTCCTCGGAAAAAATTCCAGAAAGGATTAAGCATGATTTAATTGGCAATAATAAATGAAGGCGTTATCTTTGTTGTTGCGAATCTAAGTTTCTCTAGATTGGCAACAAATGCACTAGTCTGCTGTTTCAAATGTAAACAATGAATGGCCGCCATAAAAAAAAAGGCTTAGCGGCACTTAAACAACTTTAAAATTGTTGATAATTCTAAAAATATTGCATACAGATTTACTAAAGGCATAAAAACCTTAACCAGAAGATAAAAACAACATAATTCAATCATTTTTAAAGCAAAAAATGTACAATTTACAAACATATAAGAGTAAAGAAACCGAGATCACTGAGCCGGGTAACAGAGTGGATATATATATAAATATATATATGTTTGGCGCGGCCGATTGCAACCAAAATACGAAGTGCACATCTACATATTATAACAGTCCTATATACAAAATTTCAACGTTCTGAGGCTACTCGGTTTTGAGTTATGCGAGATACGTACGTACGTACATACGTTTGTACAGACGCCACGAAAAATGCTCTTGCGAATTAATTTCAAAGCAGTTTTATAATTTTTTTTGAGGAAATGAGTCTTTTATTCTGTCCTTACGTACAGATATCACGCAAAAACATCGTTAAATTGCATTCGATAGTGGTCAAAATGGATATTTTCGTTGAAATATGCTGCCTGAAAATTTTCGCGATTACAATACTTCCTTTTTACTTCGTACAAGGAAGTAAAAAAGGGCCCCTTTGAGAGAATATAAAATCTG